GTACACTGCCGAGACAAAGACTGACAATGGTCGGGAGTACAAGATAGTACCATCGTAGAGTGAACGGGAGCCAGCTCGCCTTGTGTGTAGTAGAAGACGAGGCTGTATAGCGTGAGCATTAGATAATGTATGTCGAGCGCTGACGACTTACTAGCAGTCCGCGCCTGCGCGAGAGAAGCGGAAATCGGTGTAACGGGAAGCGATTGTAACTGAATAGGCGATACAGGACTGCCCATTTGAGCCATTTTCAGGTCGCGAGCTTTTGTGATCTCAACACAAGCGCATTCGTGTGTGCTGGTCTACCAAGCACCCAATTGCGGAACTTCTACTCGAAAAGAAACGAAACGAAATATTTGCGTGCCTTCGAACCACAGTTTCCGCGTTGCTGGGTACATAAGGCGTTTCCACAGAACATAGCGAACGGTGGCATAGTTTGCGCCCCCCGAAAATACATTGCGGCACAGCATGCAATGGAAAGTTTGCCCCCATTATGGATAGTCGAGAATCCCGGCCACATGAAGATCTAGTGTTTCAAAACAGTTGAGCAATAGCAGAGCGTCTTAGGCGCCCGGTTGATGTGCGAGGGTCAGTGCAGCGGTTCGCGCCGACAAACTGGGGACACGGGCGGCAATTCCACGACCGACGGGCAGTTTCGCGGTAACACGTCGAATGACAGTTCCAGTTGCGAGCGATACAGCGGCAACGGGATTTAAACAGGAATGGAAGTAGAGTCGGGGCGCTGGAAGGTAGCGGAAAGAAGATCGAGGCGCATTTGCGAGATGGAAGGCACACCTGGGCAGTTTAGGTTCGGCGCGACCACGGCGTTTGGGTCACTCACAAATGGACAACATAACCATGGCAACAGTCTTAACGATCACGGTCATGAAGTATAGTCCTGCAGTGGAGAGATACTAAAGAAAAATGCCGAAAATCGGTAGATTCCTAAAGAGGCGAGAGGGCTGGACTACAACTCTAAGTAGCTACGCCTGCACTTCGCCTCTTGTTTGCCCGGAAGCAGACGTCGGCGGTATCCATGCAGGTACGTTCGCAGTGCTAATCATTATACATTCAAAAGCCTTCGAGATGAATAAGACAAGGTCAATGAACCCACAACTCCTTCCTAAAGGTCCAGAAGCTTGTTGGTGGTTAAATACCAGAAACTTTCAAAATAACTCGTGCACGCAAAAGTTCGTTCCTTCGTGTCCAAGCCGTCCAAAGATGTATACAGCGAACAACAGCAGAATGCACCAGCGCCAATGACATAACTCTGGTCTCCCCAATAGTCAAGCTCAATATTCCCAACTCCATTCCCCAGCACACTACACCTGCTCAACTCATCTCTTCGGGTGCACACTGATAACCTCCGGCTTCCCATGTCCAGTATCGCTCTCAAACGCACTCGAGAAAGGCCTCGCTTCGCTCACATGATACTCTGCGTGCTGCACATCCAGCGGCGATGGAGCACCGTACGCCGACTGAGCACCAGGTTGCTGCCACGGCTGGGGCGCATTACCGTACGGGCTCTGGAAACCTTGTGATATGACGGGTGACTGTGTATCAGACACGAAGTAGCCATCCTGCTTTGCGACGCCAAACGGAGCAGCGCCAGCATGCTGCTGCGTGCTAGGGTGGTACTGGGGTGGTTGAGATGAACTAGAGGGGGTTGTTGGGTAAGTTTCAAGCGGGTATGCGTTGGCTCCTGGGCCGGTGGCGCTGCCGGAAGCTGGTGCGCTGTGATGTTTGGTGTTCTTGTTCTTCTTGCGGCGTAATACGGAGAAGAGACCTAAGGCGAGAAGTGCGAGACCGACAATGGGTCCGAGTACTACGCCGGCAATCCATGCTTTGCTCTCGCTATCCTCTTCACCGCCAGATACCGCAAAGGCAGGCGTAGGAGTAGAGCTCCGGGTTGCTGTGGAGGATGCGGGAGTGGATGATGGTCTTGCGTCAATTGAAGATTTAGCTGTGGCTTCAAGTCATTACAATAATTCTCGCGTTGACAGGGCGTAACTCGTACCCAAAGACGATAGTGCTGAAGACGATAGTGCTGAAGACGATGGTGCTGATGTGGCTACACCAGGTCGCTGACGGTAGTAGCTCCAGATTATAGAGGACATACCACAAACAATGTTAACCTTGGGGTCAGCGTCACGTTCATTCTCGAACATGTATGCAGTGTTACACAAGGTAATTGACTTGTCTTCTGATGCGGTATACATCGATGAGCTGTAGTAAGTTAGCTCATGGTCTTTGTCAAGACTCCATCTTGGTTGCGAGATATACCAATGGTGCGTCACCAGGCTGTAGCTAACTGCAGCTGGAGCCACTCCGGTGGAATTTGCTCGGGCGGTTGATGATGCTTGGAAAATCATGTTGCCATTGAAGCATCCAATCGCGATCCTACACCCAGCGGCGCCCGTTGAGCAGCAACCCCATTGTCCCCCAGCTTGATAGTATGTGTTTCCTGATGACATGATCAGCGTATGTTGGAAAGAGAGTTTATTACTGATTTCGCATACCAGGATCACAGGTCTGGCTCGACCATTGGCCTCCGAACGAAATCCATCCTATATGAGCGGCATTGTTCTGTTTCTTAAGTAGCTCAACCTGTGGTCCAGGGGTGATGAGTGCGTCTACGGCCGGAGCAGATTGAGAGGGCGCGACGAGAGTCGCATAGCTGCCCGACAAAAGTGCAGAACCGAGGGCAAGGTGGGTGAGCATGGTGGATCAATGCTCCAAGCAAGAAGATCTTTGTGCGCCAAGGAGGTTTTCTGGGACAGTTGGAAGGGCAGAGATTGTACAGCACGGATTCCGTTGGTGCTGAGGTTGACTTGGAGAGTGCTGCGACTGGGATGTCCTCTTCATACCGCGATCATCTGCATCTCTCCACAATTGCGCTGTAGGGCTCGACCCAAAATTAAAACCGAATAGTCTACTTGATCCTAGGAGTGCCACTGCGGCTTTAAAAGTTCGCATTCTCTAATGTACATCCAATCGGCAGGACCATGTGCCACCGCCAGGACGAGCTTTACCAGAAACAGCATCGCGGCGCAGGAAAATCAGAGCTAAAGCGATGCTAGTGCATCGAGGCACTCCTTCGGCGGCCATAAAAGGAGATGTTGGTTTTGCCTGACGGAAGCTTGTATTGTTTTGGCTTAGTGAGTGGACGATAATGTTGGGGGCTGAAAGCTACGGGATGAAGTTGTACAGGGATAAGCGAGCGGCTCGAACGCCTTCGTGGACATGGATGGATATTGCTTAGATACAGCTACTGTGTATGCAAAACTCTGGAAGTTACTCTGCAACACGTGGAAATGTAGTGAACCGCTTGGGTATGATAAGAGCTGATGAAATCTGTCCCGACTTTAAGCCATAGCAACATCTTACTGCAAGCCGCAGTTCAATATTTTCTCCATATTAGACAACGGTGCCGCATATCGATCAAGCTTTGTGTCTCCATCGTTTTGGTATCGAATAGCCTTATCTGATTCCTGGTTGTGGTGAAGAAGAGTCTGCTGCTTATCGTACTCTGAGATGCCTTCGTCCCGTTCGCCACAAATTGATAGGCCATCGAATTTTGGGTGTTTCATTTTCCACCGCGATGTCTCCTCCCTCGTGGTAGTCTGGATGCTTCATTCTCGCGCTTTGCGGCCAGCCTCTCCTGGCTGCGTAGTTCGCATATATTGTCGACCAAGGGGTCTCGACGTCAAAGGTGTGCCTTTTCCTCTCAGATCTCTTTTTGGAGCGTCTGTTCCACATGCTGAGCTATGTTCAACAGGCGTAGGGCAATTTAGACGTGAACAAACCCACCATGTAGTCTGGGGACTGCTGCCTTGACTGCTTCTTCATGGAGTCGTTGCTTCGCTCTTGTGACGTTTGCTGAAGAATTCGAACGGTAGATGCGCTTCACCGTGTCTTGAAGTACCCTTCTTTCAGCTCGGAGGCCTTAGTACCGTGGTGTGGCTGAGTGGGTACCAAGGCGACGGCTGTCGCAAAGTCGCCATCATGGCTGATACTGATCTCGCAGAGTTGACCACTCAGACTATTGGCGTCTATACGTTCGTATTCTGAGTGATTTTTCTCCAGTTCTGCATCGTCGTGCGCCAATGTATCCCGCGGTTCGTACACTGCGTCCAGTATAAGACCTCGAGGCGGCGCCGATCGATGTGCCTTTATATCGGAGGGCGGCGTGATTGGGAGGATCATGATGTGGTGGTAGCCTCGGGTGGACTCTTCAAGATGGTCGCATGCTTTCCGGATGGCTTCTTTCGCTGCGAACCTACGTCAAATTAGCATATTCTCGACAATCAATTGTAGCTACGTACCTGCCAGAGATATACTCGGCCACAGCATCAACTTTGCTCAAGACTTCATGCTGTGGTCCAAAGCGATGCCAGAAATAAGCGCGCTCTGGCTCGGTGAGGACCCTCTTCACAAATTTGAACAAGAATGGCTGGTTGCGCCTTTGCTTGAGCAGTAATTGGCGAAGTCGTGACACATTACAAATGTCGGTGCCTACTCGAAGCGCGAAGGGAAACGGTCGCAATGTCATGGAGAAGGTTTGCGACGTTGCAGTTGCTCACATACCACGAAGTGACATAGCGCCAAGTAATTTCTTGGCGAAACAGGTGCTCCCTCTCAGTAATTCGCAAAAGCCAGAGATAAGATAGGCTATTCTGTATACCTACAGGAGCTTTTTAGCATTTAGGATCGCTTGGATATACGTGCATGTAGTTGTCAAGCCCAATCTTTTTTCTAACTTTCACAACTGACGGAGAGACCCCGTGCACTCGTCGAAAAATGATAGTATGAGAACAGAAATCCTAGAGACGCTCAAAATGAAATCTACTAGCAGCGTTCTTAGTGTTGCAAACATATCCACGTTGTGTTCTTGGTTGGACCTGGCGCTCCGTTGGTTGATTCTGCTAAAACACCATTTGGCACACAACGATCCATGCGACCACCTCTACATATCCAGCAGAGCACAACGTGCGCAAAAAGAACGACGTATGCAGGATTCGAACCTGCGCTCCCGAAGGAACAAGATTTCTAGTCTTGCGCGATAACCACTCCGCCAACACGCCATTGAGTTGCTTCTGATCGAATGGTTGACCAGTTGATGAAAGCTGAAGATTTAAATAAATCATAATCCTAGCTATTAAAAACCCTAGGGAGCTCTCAACCAAAAACTCATGACATTGGGTGGGGCATGCACGGCTTACGGGAAGACATCATTGAGGCGGCCAAACGGACACAATTGTGCGGTACGTTTCCGAAGTCTTTGTCAAAATCACTGCGAGCCCCTAGGGAAACATGTCGTACAACCCTAGGCAACGTTTCTAGCGCTTTGATACGATTTCTTTGCTCAATTGTCCAAGCTAAAAGACGTGCTGGTGTCGACACATTTGGGCGGGGTCCACAGCCACGTAGGGCGTACTAAGAATAGCTCCACCGAGTTTTGTGTCGGACAAAACTGATGATGAAGCCTGACAGTAGTCGCACCTTCGTGAAGACACTTGACGCCGTCCAGCTCTGTGCTATCTTCGGGGTTTGTGTCGCCTAGACTGTCTCATTGCTTCTTCGCAATATCAAAGTCAGCAGCACGCCCCGGGACTCATTGAAGAGAGTCACGGAGACCGGCCCTCCGATGTCCCTGGTTGTGTTTTTGCTTCTGGCGCAGGTTGAATGACCAGACCTGCATCATTCACGACGCTCTTGACCATTCGCAAGGGCCGCATCCCCATCTTTCGGACTTCGAAGCTGAAGCATCGCAGGATAGACCCCGACGCTACCTCATCCGGTAACCAATTATCGTTGCTCAGCCTCACATTCCTCCTCTTTATTGGCCGGTGCCTTCAACTCCATATTACTCCCCGACGCCAACGACCACAAACACTGCTGACTCTACCCTCTTGCGCGCGCTGTCTTGTAGCACCCAGCAAGACAATGACGAGTGCGGTCAGCAATAGTGCGCCGCCGGAAGTGTATCAGGTAGGGGCCCCTTGCACGGGACGTCTGATTGCCCACGTTCTTTGTGGGTTGCAGGCTGTCATGCAGGGCTGAAATGCCCGGAGCTATGGGTTCGGTGGGCGTGGTCGCGTATTCGGTGTTGGCCAAAAGATGGACGCCCATATAATCGCAATGGTGCCCATACAGTAAGACGTGAGGATGATTCCCATTTGCGACCTTTGTTCACATTGCTTCATGTTTGCTCGCACTCGATAGCGACTTGTTGTGAGTTGTTACCGCTGTATCCATCGTGGATTCCTAGATCGAGCGACGCCCACCTCGTGGCCGCATAGATTACAATGTCTCAAACCACATCATCGCGCCTCCCAGGCGTCCCGCAACTGCAACTACATTTCTCGGGCCCTGAATATTCGCGATGGCGACGCACCATCAAGTTTGCCCTTCAAGCCAAAGGCACATGGAAATACTGCAATGGCAATTGCCCAATGCCAATGCCCGAAGCCGCGACATCACGTCCCTCCTCTGTCACGAATCCACAACCAAGTCTGCTAGATGAGCGCAGAGACTGGGTCAAACACGATCGCGAGGTCAAACTCGACATCTTCCTTTCGCTGGCGGAAGATGTAATGCAAGAAGTTCTCGAGGTTGGACCACCACTACCACCATCGAATTTGAGCGCGCAAGAAATGCTAGAGTCTTTGGATGCGCGCTTTGCTGTCTTCAAATTTGAGGCCTACCACCACGCCTTCTGCCACTTTTTGAACCTCCACGTTGAACAGTTTCCATCCCTGGAAGCTTTCAACCAAGAGTTTTCAACTACGCTGGAAGATCTCGTGGACCACGGCCATCCACTGTCCAATGTCCAGGCTTGCAGTGCATACTTTTCAAAGCTACGGTGCACACAAAATCCCTGGGTTGCTAAGAAGCTACTTGAGTGGGATGCCCAAACGAAAGAGATTCATTATACGGATCTGCTGGAACAGTCACCGCCGTGGTCAATCATCCGGCCATTGACGACCAAACCGTCACAAGTCTTCCAAGTGGAGTCAATACCAGAGGAGCAGTTTGAGGACAGCTCGGAATCTGACAGCGATGCACCAACAAAATCCTCCAATGCTTCTTCAACATCAAGCGTCTCTCTACACTCGCGCCGTACCTCAAATACTTCCCTCAAGATTACAGATCTGCAAGGCATCAAGATGCAGCGAGAAGAAGAGATCACCATTCTCGCATCATCAAACGGCATTGCTAAAGTCAATCCTGAAGCATCGCGCAACGAACTCGAGAAGCTTAATGCTCCAATTGTACCTGAGCGCGGAAGCTCGAAAAACCAAGTACCTGAAAGGCTACTTAGTAGCGATCCTTCCGCTCCTCTGCCTGAATGGCTCGCCTCAAAGAAGAGTGTAGCTCGACCGCTGCCACCGACAGACCGACCACTTCCTGCCCTCCCAACGCAGCCAGGCCAATCCAAGGACAACGCATCACGCTCAGCGAGACACTCGGCAAAATCGTCCCAAGCCAGTGTAGCCTCACCATCACTCTTCCCATCTCCACCCCAACTCCCAACCCTAAAGCTCGAAACCACACACCCAACGCTCCGCCCAACAACACCAACAGAAGTGCACCCAGCACTCCGCTCAACAACAACCGCCATCCCACCCACGGAAACCCACCCAGCTCTCCGCTCCTCACCACCGCAACCCACCTTAAACGCCTCACCAGCACCTCCAACTCCCAGTCCACAACCAACAATCCACACCCGCCGCCGCCCCTCCTTCTCCTCCCCCGATCTCGCCCTCGCCCTCCCATGGCCCTCCCTCGACACACCCACCCTAACACCCCGCCCACACTCCTCCTCCGCAGACCTCCCCGCAACCCAGTCCCCAAACCCGCTGCCCTCGCAAACATCCACACCAGACGACGCTCCCAGCATCAACTTCGCAACCCACGACGACGACGAAATCCAGCTACCCCTGCAAGGAACCCGCGACTCAGCATGGGCCTACCTGTATGAAGCGAAAGGCGGGTACCTCATCCAAAACTCCTCGACATCCACATCCAGCCCCTTCCACTCCTCATCCCACCACCCCACCGCACCATCCCCCTCATCCTCCATCTCGGTTTTCCCACACCAATCCCTGCTCACGCAATCCCTACAACGCATACCCACCTACGACGACACGTTCGAAGCGAGTCGGCAGCACAAGAAAGCGAGTAGTCTAGATTTCATGACACGCTTGAGCGGCGATGGGGCGCGCGAGGAGAGAGAGAGGGAGAAGAAGGCGAAGAAGAAGAGTTGGATGGCGTTGGAGAAGGTGGGGAAGGGGATGGGTATGCATGTTAGTATGAGTCGGTTTAGTGCTGGGAAGGGGGTGAGGGAGATGATTTGATGGGTTGTGTATGGACATTCGCTAGGAGTTTTTCTTGTATGGGTGGTCGGTCTTTGTCATATATACCCATTCTTGTTTGGAGCGTTTGAGTGTGTTGGTATATAATCAAGTTTATGTTCCTATATTGTACATCGTCACTATGCAACGTCACTGCAAGCTATTCTCAAGGTGTGTGATAGTCTATTGCTATACTGGGAAGGGCAATTTTGTGCCACCTCCCATACCATACGCTTGCATAATCCGTGTACTCGTAACATATCCTCATAACCACGGACCAGCCACCTACTGCGTCTCCCGCACGACCTTGTCGACAGCCTTCGCAAAGTAGTCGACGTTGTGGGTGTTGAGACCGGCCATTGAGATGCGGCCGTTCTTGGTCATGTAGACGTGTGCATCCTCCCTGATCTTCAGCACCTGCTTCTCAGTCAAGCCCGTGAAGCTGAACATGCCGATCTGGTCGGTGATGTGGTTCCATGTGCCTGGTGTTTCCAGCTCCTCGAGCTTGCTGCGGAGAGCTGTGCGCATCTCCTTGATACGTCCAGACATCTCCCTCAAGTTTGCCTCCCACTCGGCGAACAGCTTGGGGTCGTTGAGGACGGTCGAGGCGATGCGGGCGCCGTAAGCGGGAGGATTTGAGATCTCGGACCGCTGGAGGATGGCGAGCTGTGAGGCGATGCGCTTGATGGTCTCCTCGGCGTCAGACGAGGGTGAGGTGACAAAGTGGAAGCAGCCGGCACGCTCGCCGTACAAACCAAAGTTCTTCGCGTAAGACTGCGCAATGCATAGTTCGAAACCCTGCTCGATAAAGTAGCGGATAGCCCAGCCATCGCGGGCGAGGTCACCAGAGGCAAAGCCTTGGTAGGCAGTGTCGAAGAAGGGGAAGTGCTTCTTCGCCTTGATCACCTCGGCGATCTTCTTCCACTGGTCTTGTGTGGGGTCGACGCCTGTGGGGTTGTGTGCGCAGGCGTGGAGCAGGATGATGCTGCCTTCGGGAGCGCCTTGTATTGTGCTGACCATGCCATCAAAGTCAAGGCCCTTGGTCTTCTTAGAAAAGTAGGGGTATGTCTTGTACTCGAGGCCGACATTGGAGAATATCTGGAAGTGGTTGGCCCATGTTGGGTCCGAGAAGTATGTGAGACGCTGGGTGGTGGTCTTGTAGAACTTGGCAAGGAAGAGGGCGCCCAAGTGGACGGCACCGGTGCCCGAGATGGTCTGCAGGCTGGTGACCTGTGTTCGGTGTAAGCGGATCATGACGTGACGTAGTGGAGGGATGCACGTACGCGCTTCTCCTTGATGGCGGGGCTGTCACCGCCGAGGACGAGCTTCTGTGAGGCGGTGGTGAAGTCGGCGAGACCGGCAATGGGCAGGTACTCATGGTTGAGGTCGGGGTCGTTGCGGAGGATCTCGTCGGCCTGGAGTGAGAGTCGGTCAGCTCGCTGCTTCCTAGTCTGTGGATGAGGAAGGAGCCCGGGTCGTACTTGCCTTCTTGACTACGGGCAGGATCCAGGGCTTCGCATTGTTGTCCCTGTACGCCCCAATGCCCAGGTCGACCTTCTTCTCGTCAGTGTCACGGCGGTAGGCGGCCATCAGCCCGAAGAGCGGGTCTTCAGGCGCCTGGGGGACGACGCTCGCGTCGAAAGCTGTAGCGGCCATTGGTGCTATGTGTGTCGAGATCTGGGTGAGTCTGGACTGTGAAGAGGTTTGGGAGGGAGAGGAGGAAAGAT